GTCGCAGTGCCTGCGGTGGCAGAGTGAGGACTCAGACCCGGGTCGGCCTGGCCACACACAGCGGGCCGCGGCATGATGCGCTCTCCAGTAGGTTTGTCTTCCTGGTGAGCTGATTCAGTGGGCTCTGTTCCTCACGTGGGCTCCCTGAGCCTCCAAGTGTCCCCGAGCCAGAGGGCAAGGTGGGCCTGCCAGCCCGCACAGCCTCGCCCGCACCCGCAGGGCATCAGCGCCTCTTGTCTGAGTCCAGGAGTGGTGAGGAATCTCGCCCACAGCTGCACCTGACCCTTTTCCATGTCATGTCCCCAGACTGCCAGCGGGAGGGCTCTGTGGCCCGGCCTGGGGCTGGGGCTGCAGACTCCCTGGGAAGAGTGGCCCCAGACCGAGCCACTGCCCTTCGCCAGCAGGACGAGGTCATGTTGACAGCTGACCTTGAGAACGCCTCTCACCAGCCTAGGACCACAGACCTGCTTTCTCTCACCAGAGTCTCCAAATACCTTAGAGCGACACAAAGAATTCAATTTTCTGCGTTTTCCCCTTCAAACGGTACATTCTTTCTGTGGACGCTACTGAAGGGCCTCCCACGGAGTGGGGTCTCGCCTCCGTGAGCTGACACCAAGGGGCACCATTCCCACAGTCAGAAGCCTGTGTGGCCTAGAGCTCCTCGCTGAAGAAGACAAGCGAGAAGAAGGTCAGTGTTCTGGTCCAGAGGCCCCAGGACAGCTGTCCCCCCGCACCCGTCACACCCGCATCTCCGGGCAAGTGGTCGGCCGCTGGGGACCTGAGGGGAGAAACCCAGGGCCCACCCGTCAGCAGGGGCTCTGAGGCTCAACCCAATCATCACAAACGTGGCCATAAGGTTTCCCATTCCTCAAATCTTTGCAAGGGGGCCAGAAGTTACCGCAAATTTTCAATAATGACAAAGGACAGTAGCTGGTGGAGAACAAGACAGACGCACAAACGTGGTGTCAGGTGGCCTGCAGACAGTGCAGCAGCCTGGGGTCCCCATTGATGGATGACAGCACCAGGAACTCCCCGAGCTGCCGATGGTGTGCACCAAGCGGAACAGAACACGGAGGTGCGTGGTCGGGGCTACAGTGCCTCGTGGACAACACGCTTGGTGTGTGTAATCCATTTTAGGAGATGTTCTGTCTAAAGCGAGTGGACGTTAAGTGAGGGAAGACACCCATGCTCTGGAAGAGTCCCTTCTGCCCCGGTGGTGACGTGAGGTCTGGCCCGCCGACCACTCTGAAGGTCAGCGTCACGGCTGTAACAGGTGCTGGTGACAGCAGGGACTGGCTGCCTGGTGGTTACGCGGACATAGGGAGCTCATGCCACAGGGAAGTAGAGGCCTGCGGGTGCTAAAGCGTGGCAGGCTGGACAGGAAGACCCAGACCTGTCGCCATCTGTCATCCACCAGACATCACCCTGCGGAGCAGGGTGGCCACAGTGTGCTCACTTTGGTGGCCTCCGCCTTAGAGTCTGTGGAACTGACTGAACTGACCAGAGGGGAGGACCGAAGGGAAGCCATTGGTCCCCAGATGAGCCTCCAAGCCAGTAGAGCTGTTTTGGAAGACCCGGCTGTGACCACGACATCACTCTTAGGACAACAGATTTTTTTCTTTGTATAAGTGATCTTTTAAACTTGGGTATTTTTCTTTTTTTAATTAATTTTTTTATTGAAGTCTAGTCAGTTTACAATGTTGTGTCAATTTCTGGTGCACAGAGCAATGTCTCAGTCACACACACACACACACACACACATCTTCCTTTTCACATTTTTTCATTAGGGGTTCCTGCAAGATATTGCATAGCTTCCCTGTGCTCTACGGTATAAACTTGCTGGTTAGCTGTTTTACAGACAGTGGATAGTTTCTGCAGATCTCAAACTCCCAATCTGCCCCTTCCCACCCGCTTCCCTGCCGGGAACCGCAAGTTGGTTCTCAATGTCTGTGAGTCTGTTTCTGTTTTGTAAATACGTTCGTCTTTTTGGGGGGGGGATTCCACATGTAAGTGATATCACACAGTTTTCTGGTGGGGGATTTAACTGCCCAGGGAGAAGGGCGGGCCGGGGTGACGCGGAGTCCAGGGAAGCAAGCTCCCTTGGCTGCTCCGTGGCCCGAGGTGCCGCCGGCCGCCGTGCTCAGGCCCTGGCCCTCCCGCGCCCATCCCCGCCCCGCAGGCCCTGCCTCCCTCGGGGATCCACATCTTCGCCTCTCAGCTCCACACGCACCTG